GCATGACGGGCTGCTCGTCGGAAAACTTCAGCTATCAGTTCTGCTTCTTCCGATGCTTCGCTCTGATCTGCTCCAGTTCGGTCAAGGGGCTCACCTAGCTCAGACCTCGACGTCACGGAGGGCCCACCTGGCTCGATCAGGGTGGTGGGGGAGTCGAGGGGCTCACCTAGCTCAGTCCTCATCTGCTCCTGCCCACTGTGGCCTAACCCCTCGCCACGCAGGGGGAAGTTACCGCTGTCTGTGCTGCCATGGCTATCACGGATCCAGCAAGCTTCCTGTCCGCCCGCGCCGCTCGCTGGAGCTCCCTCCTCCTGCGGCTGGAGTGCCCAGGGCGCGGGTCGTCCAGGTGGCGACGGTGATCCAGGGCTCCCTTGCGGGGCCCTGGAGCGTTCTGACATCCAAGAATTCCCAGTAGACGGCGACATCGAAGTAGAACTGCTCGCACTCCCTGTCGCTCTTGGCCCCAGCCCCGTAGAGCGTGCCAGTTGGGGCGGCGTACTCCCAGTAGACGGCGTCGAGGGTGTCGAACTGCTTGCTTCCCTCGTCGCTCGTGTTCCCAACCCCGTAGAGCGGGCCAGTTGGGACGATGTACCCCCAGTCGGTGGAGCCGTAGGTGTCGAGCTTCCCGCCATCGAGGTCCCTCGTGTCCCCAACCCCGTAGAGCGGGCCAGTTGGGGCTGCTCAGCTGTACTTGCCGTCGCACCTTCCCCCTCTTCTTCAGCAGCCTCCTCCTCCAGCTGCAGCTGCTGAAGGTTGGGCTCGTCCGCCTCCGCATCCATCTGCACGAAGGGGTCGTCCTCGCAGTCCATGCTGCTGGTGGCCACTGGTGGGGCGATCAGCTCCACCGTCGCCTCCTTCTGGGTGCCGCTCTCTCCGGCCTTCCGCTGCTTTTTTGACGGCTTTGGGGCCGGCGGGCCCCGCAGTGACTGACAAGGCTGACCTGCTAGATACTGCGTCAAGTTGAGCAGCACCCTGCTGTCCTCCTCCTTGTCCCTGTCAGTGTCCTGCTTGCCGCCCTTGGCCTGGTCGATGAGCTCGATGCGCTGACTGAGCGAGCGCATGACGCTCTCAACCAGCTTCAAGTCTTCATCCTTCTTCTGCCGCGCCTTCAGTATTGCCAACTCCCTCAGTCTGGCAGCCAAGGCCTCCCACAGATTCGCCTTTTCCCTGAGGGCCGCGTCCAAGAAGGGGTCTGTCTTCTCTTGAATGGTGACCTTGCGCAGCGTGAACTTGGGATTGCATCCTCTTCGCACCTTATCTTTTGGCTTGGCATCCGTCATGATGCACAGTGACTGCTCCGCTGCTACTGACCATTCGCCAAAGTGGTAGGCCAGCTTGTTGGAGCCCTCATGGTCCAGCCGATACGCCCAGGAGTCTGCCACATCATCAACTGGGTCTTGCACCGCTCGTCCTCGGGTGTCTGCCAGCGCCTGAAACCGCTGCTCATCGCTGGTTGCCTCTTTCTGCTTCGTGGCATACGTCGTCTCCAGGAGGTGCGCATACTCATCATGATGCAGGTCTCCTGGTGTCGCTGCATTCTCGTCGCGCTCTGCTGCTGCTGCCACCATCTTCTGATACTTCTCACGATCACGTTGGGCTCGCTTGAGTCCTTTCTCTTTGTGGACCGTGGTGGTGGCGATCTCGATCTTCACTGGCTGGATCGGCATCTGCACCTTGACCGAGGCGGGTCGCGAGTGCAGGCGCAGGTGGAGGCCCACGTGTGGGCTCCATGGAACTTCCCTCACAGGCTTGAATTCTTTCACAAACGGGCGAAAGTCTCGCGAGGCTATCCCGTAATCAATGAGTCTGCCTTTGCCTGTGGAACATGTGACGGTACAATCGCTTGGTATCAGCAACTCTCCCCTCAGAGCCTTCAACCATGGTGACTGCTGCATCTGCGTCGGTGTGTTGTTCCAATCTCCGAGTGCTACCCATGGCACTCCTAGGGACTTCACCACTCGTGTCAGCTGTACCATCTTGGCGACGTTCGCTGGTCCGTCTAGTCCCACACTGCAATCAAGATACACCGAGATCAAAGCCAGCGTCGCCCCTTTCAAACGCCAGAGGATGATCGAGATGTCGCGCAGTTCTTTCTGAAATTCACTGTGCCCCGTGCCATCGGGCAAGTGTGCTGCCGCGACGTGACCTGCTCTGGCAAGCCAGCACGTCCCCCCTTGAGTACCAGACTTACTCCGCATCGATGGTGTCGCAGGCGTCCACGAGAACTGGGATTGCCACCCCTTGAATCTCAGTTTCTTGATCTCCTGCTTGGCGGCCTTTGGGAGCAAGTGATGCTCTGCTAAGCCGACCATGTCAAAACTGCAGTGCTCCACGTAGTGTCGCACCTTTTCCCCGTAGTGCGTGACGTTAGCGAACAGCACGTCCACATAGCCACTCTTCATTCGTGTAGGTCGTTCTTTCTTTGTGCCGACGACGGCGCCGTCAGGAGCTCGACGGTGCAACGCTGGCTGCCCCCTTGGCCCTGGCACGGAGCGCCGCTGTCTTGGCAATGTACTGGTCGATCGCGCTCGGGTCCGTGAAGTCAACCGCCTCTGGAGTTGCCGCTGCGGCGCTCTCGTCTGGCTTCGCCGCTGCTGCACCTGCTCCTTGGGCTTCACCTCCCGCCCCTCTGCGCCTCTTGATGGAATGGTGCAGCGTTCGCAGCCTCTCTGCAGCCTCTCGCGCCGCCTTGCCCGCGTCGGTGGCCGACTTGAGCACGTTGCGAGCCTGCTTGTGAGCCGCTGCCGCTTCTTCGTACTGTTTCCGAGTGGGCTCGTCGAGGGACGCCAATTCCTCGGTCTCCAACTCTGGGAACTCTTCTTCCTGTTCTTGACGAGCCTGTTGTGCTTGCCGTGCTTCCGACAGGTCCTGCTGCCTTGGTCTTGCCAACCAATTCGTCAATCTCAGCCTGCGCCGACTGGCACTCATCAATGTTGGTCCTGAGCTTGGTCTGCATATCCTTGAGCGTCTGGGCCGCCTGCACCAGCTGGTTCTTGATCCGCCCCTGCTGCGCCTGGAGCTGGCGGAGCTGTTGCGCCTTCTGAGCCAGGCGCTCCACTGGTGAGGTCTCTGGAGGCGGCTTCCACGCAGCCTCCAAGTCTGGGCAGACGGCCAGGAGCTTGGTCTGGGCCTCCTGATCTCCGTCCTCCTTGGCCTTGTTGAACTTCGGGAGGAGTGCCTGGAGGATCGGGTCCAGGCCCAATCCGCTTCCCTTGAGGCAGGATCGGAGGGGCAAGCTGGCGCCCCCCTCAGTCTCCCCCAAGTCGAATGTGACGATCGCCCTGGCTGGATCCTTCCACAGTCGGCCACACTCTCGGCAACTCTCCCATCCCGTCTTCCCTGCCTTGTGCACAAACACCCAAGACCGAGGGCAAGTAGGACATACCAGATACTCGTTCTTGCGGCTGCGGCTGGACGAACGCGGGCGGTCATGTTTGCCTCCCTTGGTCATCCGCAGCTGCAGCTGGTCCGTAAAATCCACGCGCAACTTCCGCCGCCCGTCTGGGCGCCCCTCAAGCCGCGGGTGTGCCTGGCCGCCCTGCGCTCGCAGAGCACCGACACACGGTTCGCGTGCGCGCGTGCGGGTCGGGGCCTCCCCCAAGAAGGCCTGACCCACAAAGGCTTGAGTAGGAGGAGGGGGAGGGGGAGGGGGAGGGGGAGGGGGAGGGGGAGAGGGAGAGGGAGGGGGAGGGGGAGGGGGAGGGGAGGAGCAAAAGCAGGAGCAGGAGCAGGAGCAGAGAGGAGGAGGAGGAGGGAGGAGGAGGAGGAGGAGGAGGAGGAGGAGGAGGAGGAGGAGGAGGAGGAGCAGAAGCAGGAGGAGCAGGAGGAGCAGGAGGAGCAGGAGGAGCAGGAGGAGCAGGAGGAGGAGGAGGAGGAGGAGGAGGAGGAGGAGCAGGAGGAGCAGGAGGAGCAGGAGGAGCAGGAGGAGCAGGAGGAGCAGGAGGAGCAGGAGGAGCAGAAGGAGCAGGGGGACGAGGAGCAGGATGAGCAAGATCCCTCAGTTGCCGTTCGAGGGTTTCCGGCTCGAGCTGTTCGACGTCTTCTGTGCAGGCGGTGGGGCGATACTGCAGTCGCTCGAGCCGCAAACTGGCTGCGACATCTCAGCCGTCACCCGGACTACCCGGCGCCAGAGCTTCTCCAGTGCCATGACCGGGAGTGGCTGTGGCAGCGTCGAGCCCAACTCAACCAACGTGAACATCGGTCGGGGGCGGCAAAGAGGGGAGCAATGACTAGGGGGGGTTGGATATCATGGCGGGGGCCATGACATATCCCCCAGATTTCATGGCGCCTCTTCTTATTTCGGTACGTTCCCGGCCACCCCCTGGCCCGCGCACATGCCGCCGGCCCTGATTTGCGCCCCCCCTCTCTTGGACGCCCCCCTCTTGGCCGCCGCCGAAGCGGCCGGGCGGGGACCAGAGTGCTCAGATGGGCCTGGACGGAGGCATGGGACGATGCCCCAGGCAGGCCCAATGCATCCGACGCAGAGATCTCCAGAGCACGATCCAGAACCTAGCAGTGAGTTTGGCCAGAGGGGTGTAGATCACTTCAGGCATGTTTTTTTTTGTTCATCGCATTCCAACTCCGTGACAGAATTGTTTGAGGGACGTTGAGGTTGTTTCCGCCCAGTGCAAGTCGGGCTCATTGTAGCCGTCGATAGAGGGACAGAGAGAGAGAGAGAGAGAGAGAGAAAGAGAGCGCGAGAGAGAGAGAGAGAGAGAGAGAGAAAGAGAGAGAGAGAGAGAGAGACAGAGAGCGGAGCAGGAGGAGGAGGACGAGGAGTTGGACGACGAGGAGCAGGATGAGGAGGATGAGGAGGATGAGGAGGATGAGGAGGAGGAGGAGGAGGAGGAGGAGGAGGAGGTAGCAGCAGCAGCAGCAGGAGTGAGGAGTGATCACGCAGGAGTGAGGAGGGGCGAGGGACGAGGGGGGGGGGGGGGCGCGGGAGGGCGGGAGGGAGGGGTCGTTTGGGCAGGCGGGGGGGCCTTCCCGCCAGCGGCCAGGAGATGGCCGCATGGATGGCCCAGGATCGCTTCAAGTACACCACGCGGCCGTACAAGGCGGGCTCCTCCTCGCACGATCGCCCCCTCCCCATTCTCTTTTTCTTCTCGAAGAAGAGAAACGCCATACACGTAAATGGCGCTCCGCGCGGGTTTCTTGGATCCGCGCTGGGCTCCTGGCGCTCTCCGCGCGCCAGGTAGGGGGGGTCCTGGCGCGCTCCGCGCGCCAGGGAGGGGGGCTCCCTGGCGCTCTCCGCGCGCCAGGGAGAAATCCGCGTGGACCGTCGAAAGGTTATGATTATGCCGTTTTTTCGTCTTCTATTCTCCTCTTCTCCCGCGTCATTCTCAGCTTCTCCTTGCGGTCGCCCTCTTCCGTGCTCCCTCCTTCCTCCTCCTCCCTCCTTCCTTCCTCCTCCCTCCTCCTCCTCTTCCTCCTTCTTCTCCTCCTCCTCCCTCCCTCCTCCTCCTCCTCCTCCCTCCTCCTCCTCCTCCAGTCGAATGGGACCCTCGCGCGCCCGCCGCCGCCATCATGGCTCAAGCGTGCACGCGCCATCAGATGGTATATGGTACGGAAAAAAGGCCCTCCTTTCTTCAAGTGGCGCCATGTCTATCGTCAGGAGGGAAAGAAACACACAGACACAATTAATCGGCGGTTTCCCAGGCAATATACGAAACTATGGGAAGTGGGGGGGAAGAGAAACACCCAGAAGATATATGAACATACGGGGGATCTTTTTATTTCTGTGTATTTATTTGTGTGTCCCAGGGCCCCTTCATATCAGAGCTTCTAACTGCGCAGTTCCAGTTGTTAGCAGAGTTTGAACAAGCCAGCCCTGGCACCGATGCCTGGAGCTGCGCAGAGTGCGATGTGGACGCGCATTCGGATTTCCCCCAACTCTTCCACGTCGTCACCCTTCGGTCCCCGAACCGCTTGCGAATATGTCTGTTCAGCACCCCGTCGGGGAACTCGCTCAATGCATCCAGGGGCGCGACGAGGCAAACGCCAGACCGTAAGTGACCCCGTGGGTGCACCGTCGCGAGGGAGACAGATGGTCTGGTGCAGGAAGAAACCGCCCACGGAGGCAGTGATGCCTCGGCTCCCTCACCACAGCCACAGTTTTCCGCCACTGGCAGCGGAACGCAGTCTCTTGCGTTGTGCCGCATGAGTTGGCCAGCGATTGGGTCGGACTGTGCGTAGTAGTACTGGCCTACATCTCAGTGGGCACGCTGTGCACCCCTAGCGTTAAGTCGGGAGTGTCCCTCTACAGTAAGAATATTCCAACATCGTCAACACTACTTTGGGGACTATTCTTGGACGATGTTTGAGTAGTTTAGGGTGCGTTTGGACTATTGTTTATTTTTCGCCCAAAATCCCCATGTAGGGGGACAGTCCCGACTTACTAGTAGTATTGGTCTATATCTCCGTGGGCACGCTGTGCACCCCCAGCGGCTCCAAGCTGGGCAGTGCAGCTGGTCCACCGCCCTCGGCTGCAGTCGCGGGCCCCAGCACCACTACGGCTTTCCCAGGCTTCAGGGTGGCGTCCGTCCTTGTGGAGGCCCAAGTCCCAGAGTGCCTGCGTCGCCCTCGAGAGCCTCCCTCCCCGAGGAGGAGGAGGAGGAGGAGGAGGAGGAGGAGGAGGGGGGGGGGAGGAGGAGCAGGGGGGGGAGGGAGGAGGAGGAGGAGGAGGAGGAGGCATGCCATCTTGGCGCCGTGGGGAGCACCTCATCACCAACCCGCTGTCGCCGATGCGTGCTGGTGCTCCGACCGTGGACACGCATCCAGCGAGCGCTGCAGTAGCCCCGCCCAGCTGCAGCCAGTACGGCGGCTGCGCTACGCCCAGTGCTCATGCTGGGCCTGGCTTCTACCACCACCACCAAAAGTTGGATGGGGGGAAGGAGGAGGATGAGGAGGAGGAGGAGGATGACGAGGAGGAGGAGGAGGAGGAGGAGGACCCCCTCCCCCTCCAATGTATGGTGGTGGTGGTGGTGGTGGTGGAAAACAGGCCCTTTAGCTCATGGGGTTACTCGTTTCATCGTCACCGTCAGCGTGTTCGGCCAGTGCGAGCTGCCGTACGTTTTCTTCTTGTCATTCTTCTGGGCGGAGTCTGGCGGCGATTTCGCCAACGTCTACGCCGTCCCTCTTCCAGGATGAGGCGTTCAGGCATGTCGCCTGCACCTGCTGCTGTCGTGCCGCGTATTGCCTGGGCGCCCTGTCAGAGGTTCTTCCCCAAGGAACAGGGAGGGGCCCCGCCGACGTGTTACGCGACGGGCGCCCTGGCCACGACCACTTGTCGGCGCCTCCACGGGAATCCATTTTATTCGCCCGTTCAACACGGTAGCAATATTGACTGCGGTTTACAGCCAATCGGGGTAGTGTTGTGCCCTTCACTTGCCCACAAGATTTGTTGCTCCATGATCTAGTGCATACCGTTCGCCGTGGCGCTCGGACGCACCATGCACGGAGCGTTTGGCTTCAGACATGGTAGTGCGTTTGCCGTGCCTTTCTGGTGCCTTTGGCTGGAAAACCGCGTTTGCGCCTGTCGGTGTGCCATTTGGTCTAGGCGCGCGGCCACGCGGCAACCTGTGCACCCTCTGCCACGTCTGCTTCGGACAGGGAAGTGTGCACGGTCTTCCCGTGAGTGGCAGCTATCCTGTGACTCAGGACTCGCTGGTGGGGGGCAGGCCTGCGCGCTGTCAGAGAGCGACGGGGCCTGCCTCGCAGTGCGCGCCACCTCCGTACGCAATCGCAGTTCGAAATGCTTTGGCAAGCCCGCGCGTCATGCGACGCACTCGGGCACTGTTTGTGCCCAGTGGTGCCAGCGCACGCGCAGTACCGTGCCCGCGCGCACCTGCGCGTCTTGCTGCGCACGCTGCATATCGGCGTGTTCAGCGGTGCGCGGGAGCATGCGCAGAGGCAGAGGCATGCCACGCTTGTGCGCAACCATGCGCTGCGCCACGCGCGCCGGGGCACCGTTGTGCCCGGCCGTGGGCCTTCGCACGCACAGGCTTGCGCAACTTGTACACGTTCGTCTTGTCAAGCTCGGCTCCATCCATCTCCAGGAGTGCCTGCTTACGCCGTTGGGGGTTTCTCACAACCGCACAGGTCACAATCGCTTCTGTCACGAGGGATGCGGCCCACGGAGAGTGCTTGTGCTGGCCGTGTCAGCTGGCATGCGATTCCAGCCCGTGTGCTCTTTTGTCATATCGTGCGCTTGTCTCTGCATTCCCACCCTTATCCACCTACTCAGTCACATCACGCCTCAGCGAAAAGGAACAAGCGAGGCGCATTCCAGCCGTTGCTGGCATTGCTACTTCACTGCGTGCCGCCGTTCAGCCTTGCGCATTTGCCAGTCGGCACGATCTGCCATCTGCATGCAGCCTGCTGCGGGCCCAGCCCAGGACTCTTCCAGTGCGTTGTCATTTGCTGGGCCGCCGTCCGGTGAACGGAGCGCGTTCGTGGCAGTCTCGCCGACCGGCGGCTCAGCGACTTCGCGCCCCCACGCGAAGGGCGCGACCTGTCCGTCCGCGCTGCGCATCTTGCGTGATCGCGGTCGGCGTCCGTGGCTGAGTCTGCGCCCGACGTTCCGGGGATCGAGCTCCTCAGGGCTTGAAGCCTCCTCCCAACGGACCGCCACGTCCGCGCAGAGCTTGGCGAAACATGCTCGCCCTGTGGATGCACGCGCGTTGACTTGGAATTGAAGGGCGCATTCATGGCCTTCGCCGGGACCCACAGCACACGCGTTCAGTTTCTTTTGACACCGCGCAAAATTACTTGGAACATCTATCCTGTCTGAGCTGACATGTTGTGTCTTGGTCGGCTGTTCCGACGACCTCATTCTCGATCTAACTGGCCGCTTTCATCGTATTCAATCTGCTCCTTCCAGTCTTCTATTTCTTCCCCGTCAACATGCCGCGCGTCGCGTTCCGCCAGTTCTCTTTCCCCCACCTGTTTCCGGGGCTGCGAGTGCACGGCTTTTCCGCTGCGCCCTGGGTCAGTGGACAGTTGCGCAGAGTGCGGTCGTGCACCGTGCCGATGCAACCCATGTCAAGACTAGTGCGCACGTTTGCGCGCAGCTCTGTTCGGACAGTGCGCGTGCACGCTGGCGCTCCCGCGCCTCCCGCTGGGCACCGCGAGGTGCGCGGACGCCCAGCCAAGGGATCATTGCACATTTTTTCTGTTTTCTCTCCCACCCCTTGAGCAACCCAGGGAGACCCCCCTTGGACCCTTCTAATCGGATTTCAACCCCATGGGAGGGGGAAGGGGGAGGGGGACAGCCATCTCACACGCCTTCGCAACCCCTGGCACGCGGGGGTCGACGTGTAACTGCTGTCAGGCGCTGTGGCACTAACGTTGGCCGCTTATTGCAAAACAGCGCCCCGTCTTCGTCACGATCGACCTGTTCATGTTGCAGTAGGACTCGGAGAGTGAGGGTGGAGTTTGAGGGGGACGGGATGGACCAGGGGAGGATGGGGAGGGGGACGGATTAACCTGGGTTAGAGAGGGCGCAAGGACACCACTCTATAAGTGGAGACCATTTGAGACCCCACGGTGCTTCCTCTGGCTGACTGCGATGGCGGTGATGATGATGATGATGATGATGATGATGATGATGATGATGATGACGATGCGTATGTCTTTGGACGGCGGGGAATTGGATGATGATGTTGATGGTAATGATGATGCTGCTGCTGGTGATGATGCGGATACTGATGCTGCTGATGATGATGATGACGTTGATTTTGATGATGATGATGATGTTGATGATGATGATGATGATGATGATGATGATGATGATACTGTTGCTGCTGCTGCTGATGATGATGATTATGATGATTATGATGCTGCTGATGATGATGATGCTGAGGGTGTATGGTGGTGATCATGATGATGATGACGATGCTGCTGCTGCTGATGATGATGGTTTTGGTGTTGAAGATGACGGCGACGAGACGACAGCGGTAATTGTGGTGTCGAAAATGATTGGTAGGATGATGCTTTGACGATTGTCAATGGTGGTGCTGTTGATAATTGCTGATGATGCTGTTGATGCCGCTGATGCTGATGCTGTTGCTGAGGCAAATCATAATGATGATGTTGATCATGGTGGTGATGACGATGATGATGCTGATGATGCTGCTGATGTTGATGGTTCTGGTGTTGATGACGGCGACTACAGCGGTAATTGTGGTGTTGAAGATGATGGGTAGGATAATGTTTTGGTGATTGTCAATGGTGGTGTTGTTGATAATTGTTGATGATGTTGTTGATGCTGCTGATGCTGATGCTGTTGCTGCGGCACGTGATGATAATGATGATTTTGATCATGGTGATGATGATGATGATGATGATGATGATGATGATGATGATGATGATGACGATGATGATGATGATGATGATGGTGATGATGATGATGATGATGATGATGACGACGACGACGATGATAACATTGCTGAGTAATTTTGCAATCCTGATCATGAGAAGTGCGATTACGATGACGACTGTATCGATAATGATTGTGACGATGATGCCAATGACGATGATGACGATCAGGATAACGAAGACGATGGTGATGACGATCATGACGACGACGCTGATGAGGTCAACTGGGAGGCTTGGGTTAAGTCGGGCACGTCCCTCTACAGGATACACATTCAAGAATAGTCAAAAAATAGTCAGGGGACGTTTTTTTGATTATTTTTGAGCATTTTGTTAGAGTATTTTTTGAATGTTTGGTCCCAAATCCTCCTGTAGGAGGACATGCCCGACCTGAGGCTTGGGCGAGGTCGCAAACATTTTCAGACCGAGTGCCGCGCCTACGTTCCTGAGGTCGAGGACGTCGTCAAGCTGCAGGGCACCGTGCCGCTGCACTTCACCGGCGCGAAGGTTTCTGAGAAGCTCTACAAGATGATGCGCGAGCATCAGGCGCGTCTTCCTCTCTATCGTGGAGCCTGAACGCCTCATCGGGCACGTTCTGCAGTCAAGCCGCTGAAAGAAGGGCCACTCTCAAGGGAGGAAAAACCACCCGGACCTAACAATTGACGTTTACTAAACGGCCCTGGGCGTTTACTGAACAGCCCTGCCCTGTTCGATCCCTTCCTTGGATGCGTTTACTAAACGGCTTCGCTTGTCGGGGTGATTCTCATGGGGAAGGATTGTCTGCCCTCCAACTTCGGGCTCAGGAGGGGCTCTGGCCCGCATTTTGCTGCAGTCTTTTCCCGGACCAGCGGGGGCCGGTGCACCTGATAATCCCGAGGCCCGCTGCAGGCCTCAGGTGGCTGTAAACTCGATCTGGTGCTTGGCATCGCTCGGACGTGTGCATTTTTCCTTCGGCGAGGACCATCGAGGAGCATCCTTGATCACTTGGCGAAAAAACCACGCACGAAACTGGAAAACGCACAAGAATGGACGTCCGAGCGATGGCCAGGGTGGCCCGTCCCGATTTCTTCTTGTCGCACAATGTTAGGGTGGGGTCGGCAGCGCCGAGGACGGCGTTCAGGAGCTGCTGGGTCAGGTGGCGAGGGCCCCTACAACCCGCCTCGAAATCAAACGCAAGTGTTCAGTGCTGGTCGACGCGCGAAACTCGGGCCGCGGGGGTCAGATTTACGCGTCTGCAGTCGCCATCGTCCGCGCGAGCATTGCAATCTTGGGGCCAGGGTGCGCCGCCAGGTCGCGGGGAAACTTGCACTTGGTTTCGAGGAGGGATGTAGGAACAAAAACGATATGAGGGGAAGCACCAGGGAGGTGCGGGGGGATCCCAGGGAAAGCCGATATCAGGGGAAGATCCTCCCTCGAGATCCTTCCCGAGATCTCGAGGAAGGATCTTGCCCTCGAGATTCTCACTGCGATCTCGAGGGGAGGCTTTCGAGGGAGGGTCTCGAGGGAGGTGCGGGGGGATCCTCTCTCTCTCTCGAGATCTTTTCTGGAGCACCCCCCGCAGAGCACCTGGCACCTCCCTGCGATTCCTTGAGCTCTGGCTGAGTGTCTCCATGCCGCTTTGGCATCCTGGGGGCAATTGCGCACCCTCCCTTCTCATTCCCTTCTACAATTACTCAATATGAATACTACTCTCCTCCTTCCCCTGATGACGGGTTGGGAGTGTTCGCCCCCCTCCCCCCGCGTTTTGTTTTTTACAGGATTCCCCGGAGTTGGGTTTTCGCCTGCATTGTTACCTCACTGCTTTTGCTGATAGGTTTCTAGTGGGATCAAAAGAGAGCATCCTGGGGTCTGGGCGAGATCGGGACAAGGAACGGGACGGAACCGGCAGCACCAGGAATCTTTAGGAATCCTTAGGAATCCATCCCCAGAACACCGCTCCCAGGCCACATTTTGAATGCCCGGAGCCAACTGTAGGCGTTCCCAGAACACCATTCCCAGGCCACATTTTGAATGCCCGGAGCCAACTGTAGGCCACTTCGTGTTCTTCGTGTTTTCCAGAACACCATTCCCAGGCCACATTTTGAATGCCCGGAGCCAACTGTAGGCTACTTCGTGTCCTTCGTGTTCCCGGAACACCATTCCTGTACCATAGTTTGATTGCTCAGAGCCAGCTGTAGGCTACTTCGTGTTCTTCGTCTCCCCAGAACACCATTCCTGTACCATATTTTGATTGCCCGGAGCCAACTGTAGGCCACTTCGTTTGCCTCCTGTTCCCAGAACACCTTTCCTGTAATTTTCGTAATTTTCGTGTTCCAGAACACCAGTCCTGTGCCATATTTTGAATGCCCGAGCTGAGGCAGGCTGAGGCCGAGGCAGGCTGAGGCCGAGCAGGCTGAGGCTGAGGCTGAGGCACGCCGAGGCAGGCTGAGGCTGAGGCTCATGCAGGCTGAGGCTGAGGCAGGCTGAGGCTGAGGCTGACGCAGGCTGAGGTCGAGGCAGGCTGAGGCTGAGGCTGAGGCAGGCTGAGGCAGGCTGAGGCTGAGGCAGGCTGAGCTGAGGCTGAGGCAGGCTGAGGCAGGCTGAGGCTGAGGCTGAGGCTGAGGCTGACGCTGAGGCTGAGGCAGGCTGAGGCTGAGGCAGGCTGAGGCTGAGGCTGAGGCTGATGCAGGCTGAGGCTGAGGCTGCTGAGGCTGAGGCTGAAGCTGCTGGCTGAGGCTGAGGCTGAGGCTGAGGCAGGCTGAGGCTGAGGCAGGCTGAGGCTGAGGCAGGCTGAGGCAGGCTGAGGCCGAGGCTGAGGCCGAGGCAGGCTGAGGCTGAGGCTGAGGCAAGCCGAGGCAGGCTGAGGCTGAGGCTGAGGCTGATGCTGAAGCAGGCTGAGGCTAAGACAGGCTGAGGCTGAGGCTGAGGCAGGCTGAGGCTGAGGCTGACGCAGGCTGAGGCCGAGGCAGGCTCAGGCCGAGACAGGCTGGTGCTGAGACTGAGGCTGAGGCTGAGGATGAGGCCGAGGCAGGCCGAAGCTGAGACAAGGTGAGGCTGAATGGGGAGGGGGGAAGGGGGGGGAGGGGAGGAGGAGGGGAGGCTGAGGCAGGCTGAGGCCGAGGCAGGCTGAGGCCGAGGCAGGCTGAGGCTGAGGCTGAGGCAAGCCGAGGCAGGCTGAGGCTGAGGCCGAGGCTGAGGCTGAGGCTGAGGCTGATGCTGAGGCAGGCTGAGGCCGAGGCAGGCTGAGGCTGAGGCTGACGCAGGCTGAGGCCGAGGCAGGCTGAGGCTGAGGCTGAGGCTGACGCAGACTGAGGCCGAGGCAGGCTGAGGCTGAGGCTGAGGCAAGCTGAAACTGAGACAGGCTGAGGCATCCGTAGGAATCCATAGGAATCCTTAGAACTCCTTAGGAATCCGTAGGAATCCGTAGGCATCCTTAGGAATCCGTAGGCATAGTTAAGCATCCTCAGGAGTCCTTAGGCATCCTTAGGATTCCCTAGAATTCCCCTGGAATCCGTAGGAATCCCTATGAATCCCCAGGAATCAGGATTCCTAAGGATTCCTAAGGTTTCCTAAGGATTATTGGATCCTAAGGCCGTTGCCACTGCTACTAGTATTGCGAATGCGACCGCGACTGCGAGAACAGCAGAATTCTACAACTGGATTCTCACCTGAACCTTAAGTGGAATGCTTCCAGATATGCTTCTACACATTGCTGTTAGGTTGCTTTGCCGGGATAACTTTTCAAAATGCTGCTCTCGGTGAGGCGCCGGCCTCATTTTCGGGCCCCGCTCGTTCCGAATCGTGCTCCCGCTGCAGCGCTAGCCTCATTTCCGTGCTTCCGCTCGTTCCGAATCGTGCTCCCGCTGCAGCGTTGGCCTCATTTCCGCGCTTCCGCTCGTTCCGAATCGTGCTCCCGCTGCAGCGCTGGCGTCATTTCCCGTGCCATGCCACGGCATGCAATGCAATGCTAGGTTGCGTTTCCGCTGCGCTATGCCATGCCTTCAGCTGAAGCTGTGATATGCAGTGCTTAAGTGCCACGTCGTGCTATGCCATGCTACGCTTTGATCTTCAACGCCATGCTATGCAATGTTATGTTCGGGGCCGCTGTACGATGCCATGCTTTGCGTTGCAAAGCTTTGTGGTGCAATTCTTCACTACGTCACGCCACGCCCTGCTGTGACATACTACGCTTTGCTGTGCTCTTCTACGCCATGCCATGCCGTGCTCTACAATGCATCGCGTACCCTTTCGGGATCATTGCCCTGCTCGACATCCGACTGTGCGAGTAGAGAGGGGACCTACGCCATGGTAAGGGATGGGAGGGTGGGGTAGGAGGTCAGATATGACGCGAGCGCACCTAGCTTGCCTCTCTCCCCTCTCCCCTCTCCCGCCTCCACTTCTGCCATTCCGTTATCATTCCCTTCTCCCTTCTCATGCCCTTCTCCCTTCCCTCCCCTCTCCCTGCCTCCCCCTCTCTCCCGCCTCCCCTCCCTTCCTTTTTGCCGTCTCATTCCCTTCTCCCCTCTCTCCCGCCTCCATTTCTCCTTGTTCCTCCCTCTCTCCCCCTGCCCCCCATCTAAGAACCTCGAAGGAGTTCCCGAAGACATCAGAGAACAGCCGAAGGGCAGCGAACGATTAGCCCGGCGAAGTGCCAAACCATATGCAGCTGTGAGCACAGTCGTTGCATGCGCCGCATTTGGAGGAGCTCCCGATAGGGCCACGAAGCGTGTGAGGGGTGTGCCAAAATGGGTGCGGTGGGCCCATGGGGACTCAGCCAGTGGGGCCGTCGGTAGTGGGGCCAAAAAGCGTGTGAGGGGTGTGCCAAAATGGGTGCGGTGGGCGCGTGCGAACGCAGCCACCGGGGCCGTCTGTGGGTCTTCCAATGGGGCCACGAAGCGTGTGAGTGGTGTACCAGAACGGGCGCGGTGGGCACATGCGTACGCAGCGAGGGGGGTCGTCGGTGGAGCTTAATATGGGGCCACGAGGCACGAAGCGTGTGAAGGGGGTGCCACAGCACGTGCGGCGGGCGCGTGCGAACACAGCCAGTGGGGCCGTCGGTGGGGCTCCCAATGGGGCCACGAAGCGTGTGAGGGGTGTGCCGAAATTGGCGCGGTCACGCAGCCACTGGCGCCGTCGGTGGGGCTCCCAATGGGGCCACGAAGCGTGTGAGGGGTGTGCCGAAATGGGCGCGGCTGGCGCGTGCGAACGCAGCCACTGGCGCCGTCTGTGGGGCTCCCAATGGGGCCACGGAGCGTGTGAGTGGTGTGCCCAGACGTGCGCGGTGGGCGCATGCGAACGCAGCCAGTGGGGCCGTCGTTGGAGCTTAATCTGGGGCCACGAGGCGTGTGAGGGGTGTGCCATAATTTGTGCGGTGGGCGCATGCGCACACTGTTCCCCGTTCCGCTGGAGCGGCCTCGCCCAGCGCCCGGGGCGCCGCGGGGGAACTGGGCGCCCAGTGTGGCCCCTTTGGCCCCGCGTGTGCCAGCACGGTGGGCTGCTCGGTTTTGCCCCCTTTGGGGGTCTGATGCTGTGGATGTAGGAAAGTTCGCATCGGGCCACGACACGTTTG